CACCTGTGGAACCAAGGGGAGCGAATCTGCAAGACCCAAATTCTGGGATCAATGGAACTCTCAGGGGAACTGACTGTTCCCCTTACAAATGCCACCTCCCTAATCTCTCCATTCACTCAAGGCAGATTCTTCAAAGCTCTGAACATGATGTGAGGCTGGCATGATGAGTAAAGGCAAGGAAGAGTGCCCTCCGTAAGTCATGGGTGAAAGCCAAAGCATCAGACTCATGGGCAGCCAAGGGCAAAGTTGAGGGCTACTGCTTGGAACGATAACTGTTTCCTCTAACCATGAGGAGAAAACAAAGTTTCTTAATATTTATTAAGGGCTTACTGTATGCAGGACATTGTGCTTGGCGCTAGGCCAGGATGCCTGCCCTACAAGACGCTGAAATATAGGAAAGGAGAAATCACAATAGCAAAAAGTCATTTCATGTTGAAACGCCAGAGTCATTATTCCAGACTGAGCACAAGAGGAAAACACTAACCTGAGAATTTTCAGTATTTGCACACAGAGGATACTGTGTGTCACAGGTCATGAAAAATCAGCTCTCGAACTGACAAAGGTGTGTGAAGTTGATCATGAAGGAAGACTGATCTATACTCACAGAGTCCTGGTCACCAGAGTTCAGTGCAAGAAAACACTCTGCCCCCCAGTCTTCTCAATTCTCAAGTAGGTGTCATAAAAAGCTTATCGTTCCCTCTCCAGCAGCTCCAAGAGCATTCCAGATGAGTGCACATGATTCTTTTTAATGGCTATATTTTGTTATATGGTCAGGCCACCATTTATTGAACCAGTTCCCTACTGGGGAGTGTATAGATTGTCACCAGTACTTTGCCACCACAAATTAATATGCCAGTTCTTCAATAAGTGAGATCCACTGTTATTCTTTATTTAACACAGGAATAAAAAAAAAGGCATCCTCATCAAGGAAGTGGCAGATTAAAAATGAGACATAAATGACAGAAGTCAACAGGTTCTTCAAACTGGAAAGGGCCCTTCCTCATGCTGCATCTGCTTGGGCAGGCTTAAGAGAGCAGCCCAGCCAACCTGCAGAAAGCTGCTCGTGGGAGAGCCTGTTATCGTGCTATGTCATCTATTCATGTATTTGAATAGTGGATAGTATCACAGCCCCTTGGGGCTGGAGTATGCACGTTAATAGTCTGAAAGAAAGCACTAAGGAAAAAAAAAAAAACAAGTAGAAGACATTTTGTTTTGCATTCTCTCAAATTATTACATGTACAACTGAACCTTCAATGCAACTATAATAAAATTCCTTCACGAAACTAAGGAATTCAAATTCTGACTCAGTAAACACTTGTGTGTCTGTGGCTAGCCAGATGCTGATAGGGGCACTCACATACGTCACATAATGCTCACGATAAGGAAAATATTAATAACCTCATTTGTAGGTGGGGAAAGTGAGGTTCAAAGAGGTTTGAATTCTTTGAGCAGGTTTTACATGCTGCTTATAAATTTCAGGGTTAAAATCTCCATCTACGTTTCTTCCCCTTCCCATGTTACCATTCCATCAACTGTCCCGTGGCTGATGGATGCCAGCTACCACACTAAACCATCCCTTCACTACAGTAAAGGGTAAGCCTGTATGAGTAGCTGCAATTACACTGTAGAAATGACAAAGTCTGAAACTAAATCCTAAATTCAGTGTTGGTTTGTGTGTGTGTGTGTGTGTGTGTGTGTGAAATAGAGAATATGGAAAAATGTTACAACACTTCACTTTATTTCATTGGAAGAAGTTTAAAATAAATGCTGATACTTTTATGGAACTGGAAAGATAATCACATTCCTTGTTTGAAACAGCAAAGGCAAAGGAAATGTGCCTATATACTTTAAATATATTAATTATATTTTGGCAGTAATTAAGCGTAAAACCAGAAATTAAAAGAGAAAAACGCAACACGAAAGGATGACAAGTGATAAAATGGTACTAAAAAGATATTTATTAAAGAATTACCAGAAGACTATGCAGTCAGCGCGGCTGCTCTAATGACAGCTGCTTCTGCTGCTTCCAGTTTGTGGGCAGTTTTAAAACACGGTGTCTTATTTTGAAAAATTGCCTTAAAATGCACAGATGCCTAAGAAACAGGTGTTATATAATATGTCATACAAAAGTATCCTCTCTCAGGGGCTCAGCTTCCTACCACACCAGGCCTGTGCCCCTCTGTATCTCTGTCCTTCCACCAACCAAGAGGAAAGAAAGTCCAGAGAGGAGTGTGGAGAGACCTGACCGGGTGTGAGGGGCTCCTGGGCTTCCTTTCTCTCCTTGCTGGTGATTAGCTATGTAATCTTTATATTCTGAGTTCTCCATATTTATAAAACTGGGAATAACAACCTGGTTTATAAGGCTCAACTGAGATTAATGTATGGGAAAATACTTCTAAAACTGTGAGGTCTACGTATAAATGTGAGGATATATAATTTGGATCAAAGAGTTAGATGTTGCTATGCTCAAGATATTGTGGTTCCAAAGAACTTACATCTTTTTAGGTGATTTCAGCAGACACTGAAATGAGGGTGCAACTGCCCTAGATTTGGAACATAGGCAAATGGGCTAAAATAAATCTGATTGTGAACAAGAAAGAACTTAATAAAAATATAAAGAGTACGTGATACCCTACTGGGAAAGAACAAACAGATAATTCAATCACCTTATTCTGTAAAAGCTACCCTGTAGACAAGTGAACAGAAACCCAAGAAATGCAAACTAGCTGGCCAAGGTCACTCATGAAGGGTAGGAACAATACTTGATTAGAACCAAAGTCCTTCAAAAAATTTTCTATGCTGATTATTAAGACTATCTCACCTTAAGAAAACAGTGGGTTTCACCATACTCATCCTTAGCCTCATCAGGGACACAGACTGAATTCTAGAAAGATGAAATCACTTGGCTAAGGTCACAAAGACGATGACAACTAGAATCCAGGTTTTCTGGGTCCCAACCAGTGCTCTTTCCCATTACCACAAAGCCTACTCCCTTTTCAGGGTACTGATGTGACTGTTGTCACATGTAAGGAAATTTTACCAGGTACTCCACAGAATACGGTCTCTACTTTTTAACCCACCACTTAGGTCGACATCCCGAACCTTTTTTGTGGGACAATTGATTTCTTTGAGACAGTGACTTGGATGGTTCAGAATTGTGCTGAACGTGAAAAAAGTTTTAATATTCTGTATGAGGAGGGGATGAGGGAGGAAAGCTGATTTAATGTCATCTTTGTATCAGGCTCCATCCCCATGATTTTTTAACCATCTTAGAAGGGAAATGATTCATCATTTAGCAGCCCTAATATGCCCACCATCCCTTCAAATGTGCTCACTCCTGATACAGTGGCCCTCTGCCTGTGGCATATAAGAAACCGTGTGCCTTGAAGTCCAGTGACTATGCACATCCAGTTCTGACCCCCACTCTAAAGCACATCAATGCTGCACTTCTAGAACAGTTATTCTAAGGTTCTTCAACAAAATATTATGTAGATCAGTCAATCAATATTTATTTAAGGCCTATCAACTCTTGAGTTCACTCACCTTTAGTGTCCATCTCCAGGTTTATTAATGTATAAACAAGGCTAAAGATTATGACACAATTGATAAGTAATACACGTAAGAGTAACCAAGTTTTAAGCTAATACTTAGACTTTATGATTAAAATATGAACCACGACAGAACTGCTTCTCACACCATGAAAGAAAAACATGGAAATACATTTTTAGACAACTGGGACATTCTGATGTGAAAAGGTAGAAAAAGAAAGAACACACTCCAGTTGGGGATCAGAACCAAATCCAGCTGCACACAAGGCTCTGTCACTGTAGGGCTATCACTTCACTCCCATATTCTTCAGCTTTCCTTACTAGTACATAGGAATTACAAAACCTGTCCTACCAAGCTTACAAAGAAGTGAGGACAAAATGAGGGAACACGTACAAAATGACTTTGGAATGTAATGTTACAAATGCAAATTATTTTATAAACTCTGTATAGCTGAATTAAAGCCTGAGGTGAACTAGAGGCTATGACATAAGAAGAAAAATTCTTTCCAAAGACACCTATTTGTCAAATAGGAGGGGAAAAAGTTAAAACAATTCTAAAGCTACTTCTCAATAAAATGATGATATTTGGAAATATTACTATAATCCGGGCAAACATTAAATTGTTTGACAAACATACATGCCACTTTGGTCTTGGGCATTCTTTGATCAATCAGTTAAAACAGAAACGAATACAGTCTCCCTTGTGTTTGAGCTTTATTCATATTGTGATATGTTACAAAATAAACTTTGGAATAGAATAAATGTTCTTGTACCTTTTAAAAATATTCCCATGCTTTCCTAGAAAATTCATATATGGAAAGTTTTTTCTTCTCAACATTTTTATTCAGAATCTCTGCACTAATTCAGGGCTCTGGTAAATACTTTTAGAGGCTTATCTGGGGGGCAGATTGTTTTTAAATGTACAGAACTTGCACATGTAAACAAATTTAGCCCCTCCTTAATTAATGAGCTTCTAATTTCTTATTACACCTTCTTTGTGATTTTACTTATTTTTTAAAATCACACCTTAACATGACTTTACTTCTCCCAAATAAGACTGGTTACTATCCCACATTCTGGGGACTGCAAACACATCCTATGACTATGCTACTTCTCCTTGGCATAAAGATTTATATTTTTCCAAAAACTTTCACACAAAGCACCTTCCAACATCCTGAAGCAGGCAAGAACACACGGGCTGAAATTGCTAGGTGCCAGCCCGAACACCAGAACTTTGATTCCCGGATCCAGGCTTTTCCCACTAAATGGTACTTTCTCTCTCTGGTTCAGGGCTAAGTATTCAAAAACAGTATGTTCTGAGAGAACTGGGAGGCCATATCTGCCATTCAGTATGACCTCTAAGCTTCAGTGGGGGAGAAATTCCTGAGGATAAGGACAATCCTAATGCTTGTTACTCATGCTTAAGGGCATAGAGGGGCCCGGTGCACTTACCGTCCAGGTGGCTGACTTGGCAGTGCTGGACTGCTGGAAGGACACATCGAAGCTGTGCGGCCCGGGGTAGTCGGTGTTGGAGGGGATGGCAGGGGATGGAGAGAGGGCGTCAAAGGTGGAGCTGGGCTGCGCGTAGGGCGAGGGTGCCGTGACGCTGTTCTGTGCGTGGTCTGTGTTGTAGGGACTGGTGGACGAGGAGCCGTTCTGAATCTGCTGGTCCATGCTGTTCAGGAGCCCCAGGTTCGTGTACTGTGGCTGCAGGACACCCAGAAGAGACCCCAACATTAGCCATTTAAGCTGTAAATCATTACTCCAAGGTAGGCACCATTTAGTGCATGCATTCTTTAGAAATCCACCTCAGGTGTGCAATGCCTCACATTCGAGGTAAAATGACCAACTCATGAGGTACAGAGAGAGGTCTGAGGCGTGTGTGTTTGGTAATGGCCCACACAGATCACACGGCTGTCTGTGCAGCCTTTCTCCCCAAGAGCATTTGCAGGAGGTGTGCTTATTTACCAACTGGGCAAAAAGTGCCAGTGTTCAGTAGTGTTGAAGAATTCTTTAGAATAAGTGAATACTACTTGCTGTTCCTTTTATTAATTTTTTTTCCCTCTGCCCTAGCATTCAGAATGAGAAAGACCACTAGATAGATATGTTCTAGGGAGGATTTAATCACCAAATTGTTGTATATGGAGCAAAATCAGATATCTCCCAAATTTCCTTTTAGTCTTACAATTCTAAATCCTGTCCCAGGGTACCAAGAGTTCCCCCCAAGGGACAGACTCATAAGTACTGAAGGACATGGATAGTAAGATTTGGGAGAGCCAGCTATGTATTTTAAAAGGCTACATGCTGGTATGTCATCTGAACACAGCCTAGTGTTTCTCTGTTTTTTTCATTTTCCTTGTAGCAGTTTATTCTTTTCTAAAGTGGAATGTTCAAGAGAAATAAAAAATGGTAACTCATAAGTATATCATGCCATGCAGTTCCTATGCCAGATGCTTTTATGTCTTCTGGGTGAATGGGCACAGTACAGGTACTCAATAAGATGTTTATGGAAAGAATGAACTAACTTCTTATTTATTCTGCAAAAAAACAACAACCCTTTACTGTGTTACTATCAAGGAGGGGAAGCAATTTGGCCGAACCCTGGCTAACAAAGAAAAGAGTGGGGATTCTGAAATCCAATCTTCTGATTCTGAGTCCAGGGCCCTGCCCACGCCCTCATACCTGTCAGCCTGATCAGATGGTTCAAGTCATTCCTAAACCTGAGTCAAACTGGACACATTTCTGAAAGAGGCAAACTAGCCTCCGGTACAGTGTTCTCTTTGTGAAACCTTCTGACACATGGAAATCTCATTGTTTCTTCAAGTTAGCAAAAGGAAAACAAATCAAAAGCAAGAAGAGGAAACAGTTCTGTTGGTACTTATTTTATAAAGGAAGTGAGAAGGAAAGGAAACTTCAATTGACATAGAACTCTGAGAGTCCCCAACTAAGCAAAACTATAGAGGATTCACAAAGATACAGATGCTTGGAAACAATTTCAATTAAGCTTCATTAAAATTACTTTACTAAACTGTAAGTATTTCACACAGGGAGGAGAAACTACAGCCTCTGCCATTCCATTCAGTCCAGAGAGCATCTGTCTAAATGTTAACGGTCGCACGCCCATTCCATTACATTTATACATTCGCATTCCACCGCTGAATGCCGCGTCCCCATTTGCTCTTCAAATAACTCTTAATCTCTTTACACTCATCCCCACGCTGACAAGAGCAGCTGTTTGTCTTGCCTTCTCTCCCCTCTGCCTTCTGCAGCTCCTCGTCCTCTCCTCTCCTCCATCTCCCATTCCCCCTGTTGAGAGGGGAGGCCAACATGAAGGTGAGACAACTAGGGGAGAAAAAAAGGAACCCCGCCGGGCTCTGGACAAATGCCTGCACACCCCAGGCTGAGGAAAAGTTCTCTGGTGTGCACACCTGCGGCAACAGCCTGGAAAAGGGATTGAAGACATGCTACTTGTGTTCAAGTTAAGGGTCAGCAGACAAAACACTCCCGAGCATCCTGCAGGAATCAGATAATGCTCACAGAGGCACGTGCTCCCCTACAGCAGTACAATTAGAGAGGCAGCCACCCCTGACAAAAAGGACAAAGAAACTCACGGAGCACTTGCTCACAGGCAGTAAAAGGCCTCCTGGGCCACCCATTTCCTCCTCCTTCTAGCTACACAGAAAGGAACCTCAGCTAATTGTGGGCTTGGATGAGAACAAAGAAACGTGGCCCTTTGAATTTTTTTCAGTATATGTAAAGAGAAAAGTTTTGGGACTCAGCTTTAAAAGCCAATGAGCAAACACTCAACACTTCTTGAAGGACTTAAGAGACATGGAGACTCCATTTACCCCAGAGGCACAAAGGAGACCCCCAGAATGGCAATAAGACTGGCCCTATAGCGTGGCACTAAAGAAACAGACATGGTATTCTGGCTCTTGGACAGCAGGGAGAGTGCTGATGGTTACTCCGTTCAGCACCATAACTGTTAATTACATTCAGTTCAACTGGAATATTTTACTTAACAACAGGATTTGCTTCCAATGCTAATGCTTCAAGTTATGTAACCTAAAACTTTATTTCTTAGGTGTGGGCAAAGAGCTGCTTTTTATCAAAGTGGAAAACACATTTCAATTTAAACATGCCCCAAATTTTACTGTACAGAAACATAAGCCAAGTAGTTTGCTCAATTGTCTTAAAAAAAATAAAGAACAAAACCAACACTACTTTGAATTAGTTAGCCTAAACCATAAACAACAACAAATGTACTAAAGTAAGAATTGTATGATTGGAAATCTGCTTGGATACCTTTCTCAGGTTTATTAAAAATCAATGTTGTAAACCTGCATAGGAAATAGTACTTCTGAAATTAATTTAAAAAGCAGTTAGGTAACAACAACAAAAAACTGTTCTTATTTGCTCATTTCATTGATGTGAAGAAAGAGTGGACATGGTGACAGAGTACAACTGGGGGCCAAGGGCAGACCAACACAGCCAAGAAGAACAAGTGTTACACAGGCAGGACCAGCAAATAATTTGCATGGCCCGCTGCTAAATGAAAACGCAAGGCCTATTGTTCACACAGCATTAAGAGCATCAAAATAGTGGCAGCAGACCACTGAAAGCACAGGACTCTTCATGACTGTACCCTTTGCACACCTCCAAAGCTAGCTCTGTGCTGGATTAATGTAATAGTCATGCCTTATTTTCCTCCAAAATGAAGCTGGTGGAGTGAAGGGAGCAGTAGCTGTGTCCCTTCTTTACTTACAGTAATCCCATGAACACAGGGAGAAACTGGGGGCATGCTGGGGATGCTACTGCCATACCCATTGACAATGACAAGTCAAAGCATCTCAGAAGGTAGAACATGACACTCTCATATCAATCTCAAAAACTACCTCTGTGGAGTCCCCATTATCCCACATGTTTACATACAAAAGCTATCAGAATATTTGGATTGAAATAGGAAATATATTGTTCCTTTCTAACCACAATGTATCTTGACCTTGGAATAACCTTAACATGCACTCAATGAACTGAATACATGAAAAATGTTATATATCTACCCTACCATGTCTGAAAAAGGAGAGTCTTCTCTCCACAAGACATGAGCAAAAATGAATACAATGTGTCTGATGTCTCCTGTAAGCCTGATAAAGTAAAACAGTTGATTTCCTCTGTATTCAAACATATGCCTCATTTTCTATAAAATAACTTGGAAATAGAAGACTCATTGCCGGGACCCTCAAAAGTTACCAACATCTCTAGCTGGAATATATTCAGGATCAACACAGACTAGTTGATTTGACCACAGAAAGGATGACGCACACCTTGGTCACAGAGACCTGACATAGTCCAGGTCACCACAGATCACCCTGCGGGTACTCTGAAACATGGAATGGACATGATAAGTGTAGGGTTACCCAGGGGCTGAATCGCAAAACTACTTGTTTTCACCATGAGGAAAGAGCAAGTATAACTACCATTGCTAAATATAGGCAAGAGTGTTTTCTTGTTTTTGTTTTTCTCCTCTTATAAGTCCTGTTGTGATCTCATAGCCATCTACAGACTTTGACTTATTTCTTTACAGAACTTCAGTTTGGATGATTAGAATTAAAATAGTGATATAGAAGATGAGATTTTTTTCCTCACCAAGTACTACTTTAAAAGTGTCCTATACATGCAATCCCTTTAGTTTCATTTATTTTTCTTCCCTGGATTACACTGTTTAATGATCTTAAAATCTGAGTCTATTATGGGCCTGGTTTTTCTTTTCATCAGTTCAGTAATAATGTGGCAGTATATATCACTGTAAACAAAACTCAGTATTCAAAACCTGGGTTTATACTTAAAGTTCATGACATAATTACTTTTCCTATAAAAGAATTTCATATCAAAAAAGGATTCCAATCAAGATCAAGAATCATTTGATGAGTGCCATGGAAAGAGAGATGTAGGCATTATTTGTGTTTCTCAAAAATCTCTTTTTTCTAATATTATGGTGTGAGACATTTTCTAAGCTCTTTTTCCCACATGTTACTATCTGAAATAGCTAACTTATGTCAATATGACAACAATATATGGTAAGACGTTAATTACAAAAATGGGAATGAGAACCAAATCAGTGGTAGGAGAGGTTATAGTTAGGACATATCATCAGCATTTATTTATCTCACTTCAAATGTTCCCTTGTCACAGGAAATGATAACTTGCCCCAATTTCATTTGGAAGAAATTATATTTATAATCCTTGACTGACTGTTAGATGAGGCTAGGGAATTGAACATTCTTCAGCTCTTCTTACGTGCCTGAATGGATCCTAGTAGTGCCAAAGAAGTCCGAACTTAGCCTAGGTGATGTGGGGTGCAAGTCATGTGCCACTCATGTACTAGACACCCCTGGGCAAGGTCCTTGAACAGCACAAACCTAGTTTCCTATAAGGAGATTGATTTCTGAAGCTGAAATATAAGTCCTGCACCAATTCTAACATGGTAGATGTGACCATCTTCATTTGCAAAGCAATTTTAAAATGCTACGAGATCACTTTAAACAAAAATAAGATAACTCTTCTCCTTTAAACAGATTTGCCAGGCCAAACCTACAAATCTTAAGATATTTCAGGCAGCCTACACACTTTCCTCAGCTGATATAACCTTTCACCTTAGGCTTCATGGAACAGCTTTTGTGAACATTCTAAAGCCCCTCCTGGGA